AAAAATAAATTATATATGTACTTAGGGAAATTTTCAGGCCATCAGATTTTATTTTCTCACTACAATGCTTTTATAATCCATCTCTACAGCTAAAACTGAATACACACAATGACAGGCTTTTCAATTAATTTTCACTCATATTGTAATAGCAAATAAACCCTCAGTTAATTGTCTCTGATGGAGCAATATGAGATTTTGTCATAAAAGGAAAGAAAAAAATGAGCTGGTTCACAATCAATTTCAGTTAAATCAACATTGTAATCTGTAAAAACAGTATCTTGTGATACTCATATTTCCATAACTCAATTCAAAGTTTATCCATTCAACATGTCTACAAAGCACATTACCCAAACATTAACTATTTATCAGGTAATCTACCACCATGCTGACAGGTGGGTCTTACTTGCTTTGGCAGGAGTTCAAAGTTTCTAGGTTTGGTGGTGAAATAGCTATTTACCCTGATAAGAGCTCTTGCTGTATTTCAGTGGCTGGACCACCATATGGAACTGATTTCAAAATAGTAAGATTAAAAGAGCTTACTCTTCTGTTGACACATTTTCATTGATTCGTCTAAATTTACCTCCTAAGTCTGAAATTTTCCCATTTTTTATGATGACAGTCTTCTCCCAATGTCTTAAGGGAAACTTTTATTCTCTATGCCACATCAACAGATACGACCAACTAACTTCAATCTTTGTTCCAGAATGATATATATTTTAATATTGATCATTTACTTACACCTTAGCCCTCACCCTGCATTCTATCAAAGACTGTGACTATTAAAGCTACAATCTATATTAATAAAAGGCCTGTGGTCGTCACGCTGTAATGCCATCACCATCAAACGAGCAATGGCTCTAGCAGTGGGCGGGGCGGGGCACCAGCTACTAGCAGCAGAGAGCTACGAGTGGTGGAGGGCGGGGCAGCAAGCTACAAGTGGCGATGGGCAGGGCGGCCAGCTGAGGCAAGCTGAAGCGAGCTACTCATGCATGATTTCGTGTGCACTGGGCCTCTAGTATTGACTATAAGGAATGTGGCATATTGCTCTTACAAAGGCAAGGATGCAATTAAAATCTGGCTTTAATCATCACTGAGGTACTCAGTTGCTCTGAGCTCCAGCACTGGGGCAGCAGCTTGAAAGGTGCATACAGGGAAGAACTGAACTGTCTGATACCAGGCGGAGAGCTGGGGTGCAGCGTTCACCCATAGAGAAGTGCTACCAGAGGCCATTGTTCCTTTTCTGAGCCCTTTCCCCATAGAGCAGGCAGGCGGGTGCCATGTCTGAGTCGTCCCCATCAACCTGGCTATCACTGTTTGCCCTGCCCTGGTGATTCCCTGAGACCCTGCCTCTCCCCACTTGCAGGCCCACCCAGGGTGCTTCCAGTGGCTTTTCTAGACGAGTGGCCTGTCTTGGCTCATGCTTCAGACTTTGCTAAAATCTCTCAAACAGCATCTGGCCTCGGCGAGCCCATACCTCTCACTCAGTGACCCCAGCCCCGACACAAGCGCCAGCTGGCATTTGTCTGCAGCTTGGCCTCTGCTAGGCACCTGCACTGGGAAGCCCAGCACAAGTACCAGTCATCTGCAGATCACTCTGTAACTCATGCTGGGGAGCCCGAGGCAAAGCACAGACGCTGACCTTGGTCTGCACCTTAGGAAGCTCCAGACCCAGCTCACCAAGTGGACCACGTCTCAGACCGTGTCGAAGCATCACCCAAACACCTCCACAAGTGACACACTCAACAGGCAAACTCAGCAGATACCAGAGCCCCACTGAAGTCAGTCCTGCTCCCCGTGGTTGGTCCCTGCACAGCTGGTCCTCCATGGTGGTCTCAGTCAGTTTTTTCAGCTGAGTGGCCTGGGGATAAATCCCTCCCATTAACATGCCAACAGTAATCAAGTCTCAACCACAATTTGAGCGTATACACAGCCCACGCAGGGAGGGGGCACCTGAGGGCCCAGCTCAGGTGAATAGATGTCTTGGACTCTGACATCTACTACATTCGGCCACTTTACCAAGCTTGGGAGAGGCAGCAGGCCTGCATAATACATAAAAACAAACACAGGGAGGCTGCCAAAATGAGGAGAAGAGAAACATGTCCCAAATAAAAGAACAGAGCAAGAAATTAAAAACCTATTTGAAAAAATAATGACAGAAAACTTTCCTAAACTGGTGAAGAAAATAAACATACAAGCCCAGAAAGTGCAGAGTCCCAAACAAGACAAATCGTGATTAAAAAGCAAAAGATTAAAGACAAAGAGAGAATCTTTTTTCATAAAGTGATGCACTTATTTTATTCAGCAAAACCCAGGGATTATAGGCAAACTATTTTATGTAAATTCATCAACCTAAATAAAATCTAGACAAATTTAAAAATAAAATCTTGAAAGAAGAAAAAAAAATAGACACACCTAAAATA